GGGCAGCACTGCAGTGACCCAGAAGGACAGGCTAACTTGGGAGTAGGTTTCCTAGGGAGTTAATGGTTGGTTAGTGACAGCTGACCTTGAGTTTTCTCTCTCTTCTTGTGTCTCTTCTTTGTCCCATACTACTTAAGGCAAATTAAGACATAAATTTCCTGATTCTGGGGTGTAGTTCAGTGGCAGAGCTCTTGTCTAGCATATGAAGGCTATGGATTCAATCCCAGACACCCCTCCCCACTTCAAAACAACGTAATTTTTACCCTCTCCCATTTCCAAAAAACATTCAATATTCCTTTGAAAATCTGAAATCCCATGAGGAAAATCTAATATCCTGGATAACGTGGGGTAGAAGGCAGAGGTGTAAAGTACAGTATGGGAAAAGTTCTTAAGTCCATTGTTCATCTACACCCTTGAATGGAAGAGTTTCCGCCAGTGGAAGCACCTCGAGAATGAGGAACACTGACATGACTAGCGTCACATACTTAATAGCCAAGCTGAAACTGGAAGTAGGGTGTCTGGAAGAAAAAAAAAAAGTGACTTCCTGAAAGGAAGTTTCCTAGAGAGGACAGTGAAAGTAGGCAAATATCCCCATTGCCTGGAACATGTTGCCGTGGGGCTGTAATAGTGCCTGAGGAGGAAACAGGCTAAGCTATGACACTAGCTGCTCTAGAAATATTGGAATTCAAATTGGAAGGAAAATAGCCAGTTTTGAGGGAAAGAGAAGAAACGTATTTCAAAAATTCTATCTTCAAAATCCCTGAAATTAAGTAGAACTTTTAAAGAAGAAAAGGCAGGGAAGTGACAAAAGGTAGAAAATGTGCAATGCAGATTTATTTAGCCTGTGTTAGGACTAAGTGGACACAGGTTCCAATCTTCTTTGGTGCTTGTTAGAGTTGGGGCAGCCCCCCGGCCTCCACTCAGCATGAGAAAGCCATTCCCAATTTCAAATGGGGATGGGGCACAAATTCAGTCTGTTTCAAACTCTGCCAAGCACATTGTAGGTATTCCAAAAATGTCCAATACATTATTGAATTTCTTTAAAAGAACTCCAAACACTAATTCTATAGAAATATTCATAAAATACAGAAACTAATATAAGCACCTGTGTGGCCATCTCAAATTTTTCAATCACTTGAAGTTATTTTTGAAAGTAAGGAAAAGTATTACAAATAAAGTTATGTCTCCTTTGTCCTCCCAGAGGAGACGTAACTCCCTCTCAGTCCCACTGTCTTCAACTCCATTTCCCATAGGCGTGAATCTGATGTTTCTCCCAGTTTTTTGCCCTCTGTTCCATGATCTCACCCTTGTTTCTGATCATCCCAAACCTGCTTCACCACCTGTATTTGCCATCAAAGATTATTGTATATACCATAGTACTTGCATGAGGAAATTAGAATAGTCATGCATAACTTAATGATGGGGATATGTTCTGGAAAATGCATCATCAGACAATTTCATTATGCAGATATCATACTTGCACAAATTAAGATGGCTAAGGCATGAGGAAATATAATCTTAGGAGATCACTATTGTATATGCAGTCAGTCATTCACTGAAGTATTGTTATAAGATGCATGACTATATATTATGTCTACAAGTTGGCCTTATGGGAAGGAAATGCCTTGTACTCATTCTGATAAAACCCATTTGAAAAAGACCATCAGGCACACACATGTGGTTGAAATTAGCCAAGGAGGCTGCACCCAAGAGAGGGTGGGTTGCATGGGAAGTTATATGTATGTATGATAGTCAAAATGTATTCTCCTGTCATGTATAACTAAAAAAGAACAAATAAAAGTTAATTTTTTTAATTGAAAAAAAAAAGGTGGGTTGCATTTCAGTAGAGGGAAGAAAAAGGTCTTGGCTTAAGGCTTATGCTTGTGTCCCATGAGTCTAAGAGACCAAAGAAGAGACCAGGGGAAATGGGGTCAGTGCTATCTAGAAATAGATAGTTTAGCAATTGCATATCTCAATGATCTTGTTCAAGAGACAGGAGAATGTTTCTGGAACTGAGGATGTCATGGTTAATCACTTACAAGAGTTGTGTAGTCTGGAAAAAATCAGGTCCTGTTAGAAACATTGTTCTAGGCTTTACTAGGAATATCACATTCTGGTTACTATCAAGGCTGAGAAGCAGTCTCAGGGTCCTTAGAAATCTACATGTTAAGATAAATGTGGACTTTTATACTTGGGAGAGGAGGGATACCTGTTAAAGTAAAAGGAAAATTAAAATAAAAGCGACATTAAAAGAGCTTTTTCTGAATGGAATCAGGAGGCTTTTAGGGAGGCAGGACTTATGATGCATGATTCAAGCTGCCACCTAGAAACATGAACTTTGGTCACCTCCACCCTTTGAGTGTAGACATCTGGAATAGATAATTTCATTGTGCCCCAAGACTACATATGTATTTCAAGAGACTATTAGATTTTTGTTTTATGGACATTTTTATGAAGCACATGCATTCTTTTTCTTATCTTCTATCAGTCACACAGCCTCTATTCTTAACTCTAACAGAATTCTTCCTACAAAAGAATTTTTATTGCCTTGTAATAACAGTTTGCTTGTATAAGTTCCCATCTTCCCTGCTGTCACAAGCGGCACTATTAATAATTACTCGGAGGTGAATTGTCTTTAAATGCATGTGCATATTTGATCACACCAATTGTTAAATATAAACAATTAATGCAACTTAGGGCAACCACAAGCCCCAAAATACCTCCAACACCATAAGACTTCTCTTAGCCAAAGAGCAGACATTGTCCTTGTCTGGTGGTTCTCTCCAGCTGACGGCTGGACCTCAGGGAATGGTGGAGTCAGTCCAGGGATGGTCAGCAAGGAGGCCAGTCTCACTGATGTCCTTGAAGCAAAACTCTTCAATGTGGCAGGACCAGCAATTTAAATACAGTTCCAAGTTGGTGGTGTATGTGGGTGATTGGTTACACCCAATGAAAGTCAATGTCCATTGAGGTGTCCAGTGAGGTGATGTAATTGCAGCTGGGCATGTTCTTTGTGCACGCCCATGGAGCTGTGCTCCCTATCAATTGTAACCAGTCATTGCTTACCATGCCTATGGCTAGTGCCCCCTTACAGTTCTTTATCAATTGCAAGCAGACATGACTAAGCAGTTCAATGGCTGCTGTTCGTAATGTCCAGCAAGTTAGTGAGTCC